AACTTCTGGATTCAGGTGATCCTCCCATCTCAGCCTCCTGAGTTAGCTGGGACTATACATACGCACTGCCATGCCTGACTAATTTTTTGTAGTGTTTGAAGAGAGGGAGTCTCACTATGTTGACCAAACTCCTGGCCTCAGCTGATCCTCCTCCTTGGGCCTCCCAGATTGTTAGGATTACAGGTGTGAGCCACTGTGCCTCGCTCAAAATTATTATTATTATTTTTATAGAGGCGAGGTCTCACTATGTTGCCCAGGCTGGTCTCGAACTCCTGGGATCAAACAATCCTTCTGCCTTGGGCTCCCAAAGTGCTGGGATTACAGGTGTGTGTCACCGCACCTGCCAATACTTTTATTTTTATTTTAACTTCCCTGTCTTTTCCTTTTTTTTTTGTTTTAACAAAAGCTTTGAAAGTGGTGACAGCAAAATTTGCCTTTGAGCTAGACCTTTGGGTCTGCCTTGCACATTAAGTGGGCTGGCCTCACATTGCCTCCACCATCATTGCAAATTACAAACCTAGCAATTACAGAACGTCCGCGGCGAAGACAGGAGAGCTTCCATACCCACCCCGTGTCCTCCTCTCCAGACACTGATTCCTTCCTCACCTTAAACAGCACAAATAACCCAGGAGCCATCAAAATTATTTTCGACAAGCAACTTTCTCAATGTCTTGGGTAAGGTTTGCACAAACTAAGTGGCAGAATCAGACCTTTGCCAGAAGACTTGGCCCATGAAACTTCCACCCTGTTTTTTTTGAGATAGGATCTCATTCTGCCGCCCGGGCTGGGGTGCAGTGGTATGACCATAGCTCACTGCAGTCTCCGCCTCCTGGTCTCCAGCAATCCTCATGCCTCAGCCTCCCATGTAGCTGAGACTGCAGGCATGCACCCTCATACCTGGCTAGCCCCGGGAACTTCTAGAAAGGCATACCAGCTGAAAAGCAAGACTTACATAGTGTGGCCAGGCCAGGCCTTAACCTGGTCAGAGCCACACAGGACAACGATGGACATATCTGCCAACATGTGCGCTTGAGCTGACCTCGGGCTGTAACATCTTTGATATTATTCACTTTACTGGCAAGGCATGGTGGCTCATGCCTGTAATCACAGCCCTTTGGGAGGCTGAGGTTGGCAGATCACCTAAAGTCAGGAGTTTGAGACCAGCCTGGCCAATATGGTGAAACCCTGTCTCTATTAAAAACACACAAGAAAAGTAGCTGGGTGGCTTGAGCCTGTAATCCCAACTATTTGGGAGGCTGGTGCAGGAGAATTGCTTGAACCCAGGAGGGGAGGTGGAGGTTGCAGTGAGCCGAGATCGTGCCACTGTATGCCAGCCTGGGTGACAGAGCGAGACTCTATCTCCAAAAAAATATTCACTTTACTTCTGTGTGAACTTCCTTGGGCTATTAGCTCTTGCAATGTTAGTGCTTCTCAAAATGCCATGGTTTTGGGTGTCCCTTGTCTACTGTGTGTTAGTTTGCTGGGGCTGCCATAACAAAAGACCATAGACTGGGTGGCTTCAGCGACAGAATGCATTTTCTCAGTTCTGGAAGCTGGATGTCTAAGATCAAGGTGTTGGCAGGATATTTCTTCTGAGGCCTCCTGTCTTGGCTTGTAGATCCTCTTCTCCCTGTGTCTTCACCTGGTTTTCCCTCTGTGTGTATCTGACTTCTCATCTCCTCCTCCTTTTTTTTTTTTTTGAGACAGGATCTTGCTCTGTTGCCCCAGCTGGAGTGCAGTGGCACAATCTCAGCTCACTGCAACTTCCACCTCCCAGGCTGAAGCCATCCTCGCTCCTCAGCCTCCCGTGTAGCTGGGATTACAGGTGCACACCACCACGTCTGGCTAATTTTTGCATTTTTTGTAGCAACGGGATTTTACCATGTTGCCCAGGCTGGTTTTGAACTCCTGGGCTCAAGCGATCTGCCCACCTTGGCCTCCCAAAGTGCTGGGATTACAGGTGTGAGCCACTGTGTTGGGCCTACAATGACCTCTTTAAAGATCCTGTCTCCAAATATAGTCATATTATGAAGTACTAGGAATTAGAATTTCAACGTATGCACTGGGGAAGGGTGGCACAATTCGGCCCATGGCATTCACAAACTGCCAGAGTGACCCCCTGCCACGTGACAACCAAACATCAATTAGAGGATTGGTATTACTCCCGGCTAGGCATACTCAACATAGTATTCCCTTTGGATAATCCCCAAATTGCATTCAAGAATGGGTAGACATTCTCTGAACCAATCAATTTATTTTATTTTATTTTTTTGAGACAGAGTCTTGCTCTGTCACCCAGGCTGGAGTGCCGCAGCGCGATCTCGGCTACTGCAACCTCTGCTTTCCAGGTTCAAGTGATTCTCCTGCCTCAGCCTCCTGAATAGCTGGGATTACAGGTGCGTGCCACCATGCCTGGCTAATTTTTGTATTTTTAGTAGAGACGGGGCTTTGCTGTATTGGCCAGGCTGGTCTTAAACCCCTGACCTCAAGTAATCCATCTGCCTCAGCCTCCCAAAGTGCTGGGATTACAGGCGTGAGCCACCACGCCTGGCCTTATTTTATTTTTTGAGACAAGGTCTCACTGTGTCGCCCAGGCTGGAGTGCAGTGTTGTTATCATAGCTCACTGCCGCCTCAAACACCTGGGCTCAAGCGATTCTCCCTCCTCAGACTCCTGTATAGATAACTAGAACTGCAGGTGTGCTCCACCACACCTGACTAAAACATTTTTTCTTTGTAGACATAGGGGTCTTGCTATGTTGCCAAGACTGGGCTTAAACTCCTGGCCTCAAACAATGCCATCCTCCTGCCTCAGCTTCCAAAGTGCAAGGATTGTGATCAATTTATTCATCAACAATCACTCTTCATTCATAGCAGACTCTTTCCTGTTTTGTCTGAGAACAGGTGATTATAGCAAAGATACTGCAAGGGTGGGGGAGGTTGGGGCTGATTTCACTTCCTGTTTCTTTGATTTGTTTTAAATCTACTTGTTTTTTTATTTCGTTATTTTTTTTTTTATTTTTTGAGATGGACTCTCATTCTGTCACCCAGGCTGGAGTGCAGTGGTGCGATCTCAGCTCACTGTAACCTCCGCCTCCTGGGTTCAAGTGATTCTCATGCCTCAGCCTCCCGAGTAGCTGGGATTACAGGTGTGTGCCATGAAGCCCAGCTAATTGTTGTATTATTAGTAGAGACAGGTTTCCACCATGTTGGCCAGGCTGTTCTCAAACTCCTGACCTCAGGTGATCCACCCGCCTTGGCATCCCAAAGTGCTGGGATTACAGACGTGAGCCACCACACCTGGCCACATTATTTATTTTTAGGAGGTGGGTTCTCAGTATGTTTCCCAGGCTGGAGTGCAGTGGCAATTCATAGGCAGGAATGATCCCACTACTGAGTTTTGATCGACTCTGTCCTCTGTTCTCACCTCCGCCCACCCCTGCACCTGCCCCCACTCATCACTACCAAAGCCAGCTCCGGTACTGTCCGCAGCCTGCTGAGTGGGTGGGTGTGGTGTTGTAAACCGTCCATCCAGGGGACTGTTGTGGCAAGCAACTTTATCTGGGGTCAGGGGAAGTTCTCACATTTCAGAAGAGGGAACTTGAGTGTTCTCTGATACGTGTATTGAGAAATGGGGAAGCTGGGGGCTGTGGTCACATCTCTGGGTCATGCTGGGTGGGGAGCCTGGAGGAGCTGGTTCCAACCTAGCTCCTTTCCATATCACTCATGATTGTCTAATTGTGGACAGAGAGGTAAACACAAAAGAGGTCGCTTTTTACCACTTTAGGTCCAGGGGAGCAACAGGTGGATAAAAATAATAACCACGGTTTATCAAACATGTACTGCGTGGTAGATAAATGCAGTGGCTCTCATTGAATCTTCACCATGATTTTGTGAGGTCGAAATAATTATCAACTCCCACCAATCTTTTTTTTTTTTTTTTAGACAGAGTCTCACTCTGTTGCCCAGGCTGGAGTGCAGTGGTGTGATGTCAGCTCACTGGAACCTCTGCCTCCTGGGTTCAAGTGATTCTCCTGCCTCAGCCTCCCAAGTAACTGGGATTATAGGAGCACCATATTGTATTTTTAGTATAGATGGGGTTTCACCATGTTGGCCAGGCTGATCTTGAGCTCCTGAGCTCAGGCAATACCTGCCTTAGCCTCCCAAAGTGCTGGGATTACAGGTGTGAGCCACTGTGCCCAGACCCATTTCCTTTTTCTTTCTTTTCTTTCTTTCTTTCTTTTTTTTTGAAAGACAAGGTCTCGCTCTGTCACCCAGGCTGGAGTGCAGTGGTGCAATCATAGCTCACTTAAAATCTCTCATTGGGTACAATGGCTCATGTCTGTAACCTCAGCACTTTGGGAGCCCGTGGTGGGTGGATCACTTGAGGTCAAGAGTTGAAGACCAGCCTGGCCAACATGGTGAAACCCTGTCTCCACTAAAAACACAAAAATTAGCTGGATGTGGTGGCATGCACCTGTAGTCCGAGCTATTGGGAGGCTGAGGCAGGAGAATAATTTGAACCCAGTAGCCAGAGGTTGCAGTGAGCCTAGATCACACCACTGCACTCCAGTGTGGGTGACAGAGAGAGACTGTCAAAAAAAAAAAAAAAAAAAAGAAGTTAGCTTGTATCAGCAAGGAAGCAAAGGCAGTAGGAAGTCAATGGTTTGAGGGAATGAATGAGTTCAAAGAGCAAGTTTATGGTCAAGTGCGGTGGCTCATGCCTGTAATCCCAGCACTTTGTAATCCCACCTGGAATTCTCCCAGGTGGGAGAATAATTTGAGCTCAGGAGTTTGAGGCTGTAGTGAGCTATGATTATGCCACTACATTCCAGCCTGGGTAACAGAGTGAAACCCTGTTTTAAAAAAAGAGTAAGTTTAGAATGAGTCAGACTAAGAACTTGAGGAAAAGGACCTCTTCATTTACAAAAAGTAAAGGAAACATTTGCAGTGGTCATGATTTGGGTTTCTAGGGACAAGCATTGACTGAACACACCATAGTGAAGGGAGACGCAATTTACCACACATTTATTGAGAGCCTATTACACAGAACAAACACTGCAGGAAGTAAAGGTTGTTTATTTCATCTCCAAGGTTGATATGTTTCATGAGTTCCCTTGTCCTAAGCTTCATTCTTCATAATGCCAAAGAGATCCATGGGTATGATTTTCTATATTGAGTTGAATGTTATAGTTTTAATATTTTTTCTTCACTTGTCCTGGAAAAACATCCCCCCATAAAAGAGGTTTAGATTAAAGGCATATGTAATAATATAATAAAGCAAACAAACGAAATCAACAACATGGAGAAAGAGCAGGAGTGCTTTAAACCCAGCTTGAACCAGCAGGCAAGGATGGCATGATCTCCTAGCATTTAAAAATACTAGGGCAAATGTGGTCTTCTTTGGCTTAGAGTGGGAAGACTTATCAAAAATTCAGCAAGAAGAATTCTTCTTTTTGTTAAGTTTTCAGACATAACATCTGACTCTGGAATTTTAGCCCCCGGATGTTTTTTGTCTATGAAGAAAGATTAGAGTCTTGTTGGCTTTGTTCCTCTTTGAATGCCCATTATCTAACATAGTGCCTGACACACTGTAGAACTCAACAATTATTGTCTTTGCACCCCACAACTTACAGCTTGGTTTAACAGCCCCAAACTCCATAGAGGAACCAACATCTCCTGTAGAAGCCTATGAGGTTAGTGGTTCCTAGCCTAGTTATAGGAGTTTTTGTGTGTAAGAAGTTCAAAGTTATGTCTTCCTTCCTGGTATTTATGGTTCATTCATAGAATTTCCCATCCAGATGCAACTTACAAGTCAAGCATGACTTTTCCTCTAGGCAGCACTGCCTGGAGATATAACTGATCTTCCAACTTAATCAAGTTTCTTGGGAACAGAGCTAGAAAGTTAACCTAAGGTCAAATTTGTCTGTAGAGAAAGAGTTTCTATATTAGCTTTTTACTCAAACTTTGTGCCTAAAAAGTAAAAGCATAAGATATTTTTCTGTAGATATGGGGTCTTACATTGTCTCAAACTCCTGACCTTGGGCTGGGGGCAGTGGTTCACACCTATAATCTCAGCACTTTGGGAGGCCGAGGTGGGTGGATCGCTTGAGGTTGGGAGTTAGAGACCAGCCTGACCAACATGGAGAAACACTGTCTCTACTAAAAATACAAAAATTAGCTGAGTGTGGTGGCACATGCCTGTAATCCCAGCTTCTCAGGAGGCTGAGGCAGGAGAATTGCTTGAACCCGGGAGGTGGAGGTTGTGGTTAGCCGAGATTGCACCATTGCACTCTAGCCTGGGTAACAAGAGTGAAACTCCACCTCAAAACAAAACAAAACAAAACGAAAAACTCCTGACCTCAAGTGATCCTCCTACTTTGGTCTCCCACAAAGTGCTAGGATTACAGGCATGAGCCACCATGCTTGGCCAAAGCTAATGTATTTCTTAAAGAGACATTAATAGGAAGGATAACATGGGGAGAAATGCCAGATAAAATATGCACCTAAAGTAAATAAATAAATTTTAAAAAAGAAAAAAGATACGTATGTGTGTATATATATATATATATATATATATATATATATATATATACTCGCATATATATATATATATATATATATATTTTTTTTTTTTTCTTTGAGACAGGGCTTTGCTCTGTCATCCAGGCTGGAGTGTAGTGGCATAATCTTGACTCATTGCAACTTCTGCCTCCTGGGCTCAAGCAATCCTCTTGCCTCAGGCTCCCAAATAGCTGAAACTACAGGCATGCACCACCACACCTGGTTAATTCTTTAACATTTTTGTAGAGACAGGGTCTCACTATATTGCCCAGGTTGTATTCAGTATTTCCCTTCCAAAGATACACTCATATTATCCAATTTCCGAAATGTTAAGTGATGAAAACGCTTTCCTTATTTTATTGTGGAGAACCAGTAACTGGAATGCCGGCAGCTTTGGGAATTATTCTGGATTTTCTGGGAAACTTTTCACAGGTCACAGTCAACAGTCTGTACCTATAATAATTTTACTCTTGTTGAGAATAATTAACCATTTTTTTTTTGAGACAGAGTCTCGCTGTGTCGCCCAGGCTGGAGTGCAGTAGCACAATCTTGGCTCATTGCAACCTCCGCCTCAGTCTCCTGAGTAGCTGGGATTACAGGCGCCTGCCACCATGCACATCTAATTTGTGTATTTTTAGTACAGATGGTGTTTTGCCATGATGGCCACGCTGGTCTCAAATTCCTGACCTCAGGTGATCAACCTGCCTCAGCCTCCCAAAGTGCTGCGATTACAGGTGTGAGCCACTGAGCCTGGCCATATTAATAAAATTTTTTGGGGGGTCACCTAACATGCCCTAAAACTTTTCCTGGTCCCATTTTCCTTTTGGTGTTGAAAAGATTTAGAATTAATTCACCTCCTTACCTCTAATAGGAATAGATGCTTCTTCAGTGACCTCAATATTTCCACTGCCGAGGAAAATAACATATTATCTCAAGAAATGTTAAAGATGATTTATCAAAAATTTCTCCACTTAGCTTAAGGTAAAAACATATATATATATATATATATATATATATATATATATATAATTTTTTTTTTTTAGATGGAGTTTTGCTCTTGTCACCTAGGCTGGTGTGCATTGGCGTGACCTTGGCTCACTACAACCTTTGCCTCCCGGGTTCAAGTGATTCTCCTGCCACAGCCTCCCAAGTAACTGAGATTACAGGCACCCGCCACCACACCCAGCTAATTTTTCTATTTTTAGTAGAGACGGGGTTTTGCCATGTTGGCCAGGCTGGTCTGGAACTCCTGACCTCAGGAGATCCACCCGCCTCAGCTTCCCAAAGTGCTGGGATTATAGGTGTGAGCCACCGCACCTGACATAAAAATGTATTCTAAGACCTTTTGGTGAGCGGATATGGGGGCTGTGCACATGAAAGGCATGAAAACAAATGAGATAGGAAGAGATTTTGTGGATTTAGGGCTTAGGAGCCCATCTTGCTCACCCAGAAATAGATCTTTTCATTTTATTTATTTATTTAAGAAAAAAGAGATGGAACCCGGCGAGGTGGCTCATGCCTGTAATCCCAGCACTTTGGGAGGCCAAGGTGGGCAGATCATTTGAAGTCAGGAGTTTGAGACAGCTGGGCAACATGGTGAAACCCCATCTCTACTAAAAACACAAAAAAATTAGCGAGATGTGGTGGCAGGCACTTGTAATCCCAGCTAATGGGGAGGCTGAGGCAGGAGAATCGCTTGAACCCAGGAGGTGCAGGTTGCAGTGAGCCGAGATTGTGCCACTGTACTCCAGGCTGGGTGATAGAGTGAGAGTCCATCTCAAAAAAGAAAAGTAAAAGAAAAGACAGGGTCTCACTATGTTGCCCAGGCTGGTCTTAAACTACTGGACTCCAGTGATCCTCCTGCCTCGGCCTCCCAAAGTGTTGGGATTACAGGTGTGAGCCACCATGCCCAGCCTCTTTTTAGATGTCTGTTCTGTCATTTATTCAAAAAGCCAAATACGGAACAAATATGGAAGCGTAATGTCACATAGTGCTGAAAGCTCATTCTATGGTGCACTGAGCCTGACTTAGTGCAATGGAAGAAGAGAACACCAGCAATCAGATTCCAGAAGTATCATCTTTCTAACAGGGCCATTTCAGCCCACAGAAAGGTCCTATGATTCCCTGCACTCCTCCTCTGTAATTATGCAGAGCAGCTGGGGTAGAATCCCTCCCCTGGAGCCTTTTCCATGATGCACCCGAACTCTGTGGGGCTCACATCCACATCTCTGTGGACAGTGGGGATTTGGGGGAAGATGTTCACTCTGCTATGCCTATGCTTGTAAATTTCCCCCAATGGGAGTCTATGTTAGATTGCATTGGTTCTGGTGATATATTTTACCCATACATCTTTGCACAATGAGAGTACATACAAAAACCAGCTCACGTGCTGTTAGTGAGCAGCGATGGGTCACTGAGGAACAATATAACAAGAATGAGGAACTCGCCAGGTTATCAGGAATAGGACTCTTCCTCATACCCTCCAGCAAGGGGAGTTTGTACTAAGAATAGCTCCTCAAAGCTACCCTATGTTTCCCAGGCTGGTGTCAAACTCCTGGGCTCAAGCAATCCTCCCATCTCAGCCTCCCAAGTAGCTGGGGGTGCAGGCATGCACTGCCACACCTGGCTTCCTTTTTTTTTTTTTTAAATTTGAGATGGAGTCTCGAACTCTCGCCCAGGCTGGAGTGCAGTGGTGCGATCTCGGCTCATTGCATCCTCCGGCTCCTGGGTTTAAGTGATTCTCCTGCCTCGGCCTCCCAAGAGCTGGGATTACAGGCACCCACCACCATGCCCAGCTAATTTTTCATATTTTTAGTAGAGAGGGGTTTCAGCTTGTTAGGCAGGATGGTCTCAATCTCCTGAATTTGTAACCCACCCACCTCAGCCTCCCAAAGTACTTGGATTACAGGCATGAGCCGCTGCACCCAGTGCCTCCCTTTTTTTTTGAGATGGAGTTTCACTCTTGTTGCCCAGGCTGGAGTGCAATGGCACGATCTTGGCTCACTGCAACCTCCACCTCCAGGGTTCAAGGGATTCTCCTGTCTCAGCCTCCCAAGCAGCTGGATTACAGGCGCCCACCACCAAAACTGGCTAATTTTTTTGTATTTTTAGTAGAGAAGGGGTTTCACCATGTTGGTCAGGCTGGTCTTGAACTCTTGAACTCAGATGATCCGCTTGCCTTGGCCTCCCAAAGTGCTGGGAATACAGGCAGGAGCCACTGCACCCAGCTAATGCTGGTCTTAATACCTAAGTGATGGGTTGATAGGTGCAGCAAACCACCATGGTACACGTTTACCTATGTAACAAACCTGCACGTCCTGCACATGTAACCTCAGAACTTAAAAAAAACAAACAAAAAGCTCCCCAAAACTAGAGGGGGTTTGCAGTGTCAAGAGAGGAGTATGTAAAACAGAACAATTCACATGTTCACTTACCTCACTGGGTTTTGAGTCAGGACCCACTTTGCTGGAAAGTGTGTGTGTCTCAGACTCAGATCTTGATTTGACCATCTCTCTAAACCACTTTCGATATTGTTTCTGGACCTGGAACATGAAAGGAAATCCCTGGATGGCTTTTGCTAACATTAGTGAAGGGCAGAAAAGTCAGTGAGGCAGGAAGAGGATAGAGACGCATTATTATGTATTTCTTTTCACAAAATGTGGTCTATTCATACAATTGAATATTATTCAGTCTTACAAAGGAAGGAGATTCTGACACATATTACCACACGGATGAACCTTTAGCACATCAGGCTGAGTGGTCACGAAATAAGCTGGTCACGAAAAAGCAAATACTGTATGGTTCTATTTATATGAGGTCCCTAAATGTTGGAAATACATGCTCGGTGCCACAAAGAAAAATTGTTCCTGGGACAAAGGATCTCTCAGCAAAGCAATTCTTTTTACTTCCTGCAGAAAGGATACTCCCACCAGCAATCTTGCCATGAGAGTACAACAAACAAAGGAAAGCAGACAAATCTATTTCTTACGCATTTGGGGTTGTCCTTACTGCTGTGTCTGATCTCTGTTGGCTGGGGCCAGACCTTACAATCTAAACTAAAACCTGATTGGCTAATAACTTGACACTTTTCTAAACAGGTACAAGCAATGGAGAGCAAAAAAGGGAAGTCCAAATAAGGAAGGGGCATAGGCTGCAAGCTGGGACATGCCTGTGAGCACGTTCAGCACAGATATTTTGGTTAAAGTACAAGGACATAGAATGTACCTGTGAGCATGTCTAACAGCTACAGAGGATAGCGCTTCCAACAAAAAGCAAGATGGCCTTTAAAGAAAGTGTTTAAAACAAACCATTATTTCTAACACAAATTTTTCTTAAACAAGAAACTTTGAAGAGGAACTTTTCTATTTCCCACACGAAAGTAGTCAAATTCATACAGACATACAGTAGAATAGTGGTTTCCAGGGCCTGGGAGGAGGAGGGTGGTTAGTTAGCGTTTCATGGGGATGGAGTTTCAGTTTGGGAACATGAAAGTTCTGGAGATGGATGTTGACAGTGGTTGCATGACGAGGTGAATGCAATGCTGCTGAACTGTTGGTACATTTAAAAATAATTAAAAAGGTAAATTTTATATTATATATATTTTGCCACAATAAAAATTTTTCCATTACAGGGTATATAATTGTTGTAGAAAATTTATAGTTGGGCATGGTGGCTCACACCTGCAATCTTAGCACTGTGGGAGGCTGAGGTGGGTGGATCACTTGAGGTCAGGAGTTCTAGACCGGCATGGCCAACATGGTGAAATCCCGTCTCTACTAAAAATACAAAAATTAGCCAGTCATGGTGGCACACGTCTATAATCCCAGCTACTCCAGAGGCTGATGCAGGAGAATTGCTTGAACCTGGGAGGCAGAGTTTGCAGTGAGCAGAGATCTCGCCACTGCACTCCAGCCTGGAAGAGAGAGTGAGACTCTGTCTCAAAAAAAAAAAAAAAAAAAAAAATTTATAAGATTTGCATACACAAAAGGAAGAAAATTGAAGTTACAGAGAATTCCTCAATCTAGTGAAAATCACCAATAATATTTTGGTAGCATCCTTCCATGTATCTTGGTTTTGGGTACCTCAGAAGCAGACTCTGCAACAAGGGTTGAAGTGTAAAGAGTTTATTTGAGGGGTGATCCCAAAAAGCACCAGTAGGGCCGTGAGGATGCAGGACAGGGAAGAGAAGGCAGCTAGTAAAGGGTGCATAATTAAGGATGTTTCCACTGTGGGCATCCGCGGCTCAGCCCCATTTAGGAGCTCTGCAGTATAGCATGGAACTACCTCAGAGTCAACTCGCCTGAGGGAGGAGGGAGCTGGGGTATTTATCCACCAGCTCTTATCAGTAAAGGTTTGATGGTCACTCTCAAGGGCCATTATTCTTGGGTGTCACCAGTTTGCCCTGTGCGTGGGCCAGGCATATCCTGTGGGCAGTAACAAGCCCTCAGGCACAGTCATGGGTGTTTGCAATAAGCAGCTCCAGGCATGTAGAGATGAGGGCCAAAGGGATATGAGAGGGCCATAGACAGCATCTGCCATACCATGATACCCCAACCTTGGTGCTATTGACATCTTGGGTTGGATCACGTTTTGCTGGAGAGGGCTGTCCTGTGTGCATTGTTTAGGATGTTTAGCAGCATTCCTGACCTCCACCCACAAGATGGCAGTAGTACCCCCAACCCCAGTTATGACAATCAAACATTTCCCCTGACATTGCTAACTATCCCTTGGTGGGAACACAATTGCTCCTGATAAGGACCACTCTGGGCTGAGTGCAGTGGCTCACACCTGTAATCCCAGCACTTTGTGAGGCTGAGGCGAGTGGATCATGAGGTCAGGAGATCGAGACCATCCTGGCTAACACGGTGAAACCCTGTCTATACTAAAATACAAAAAATTAGCCGGCCATGGTGGTGTGCGCCTGTAGTCCCAGCTACTCGGGAGGCTGAAGTGGGAGAATTGCTTGAACCTGGGAGGTGGAGGTTGCAGTGAGCCGAGATCACCCTGCCACTATACTTTAGCCTGGGCCACAGAGTGAGGCTCCTTCTCAAAAAACAAAACAAAGAAACCATTTGGATATGCCATAAACATCTATACCTACACAAAAATAAATACATAGCAATAACCAACAATGAGTGCTTATACCCATTATATAAACACAATGAAACTCTCCTGAGTAATGTTTTTTATTTTTATTTTTGAGATGGAGTCTTGCTCTGTCGCCCAGGCTGGAGTCCAAAGGCATGGTCTCAGCTCACCGCAACCTCTGCCTCCTGGGGTCAAGTGATTCTCCAGCCTCAGCCTCCCAAGTAGCTGGGATTACAGGTGCCTGCAGCCATGCTTGGCTAATTTTTATATTTTTTAGTAGAGACGGGGTTTCACCATGTTGGCCAGGCTGGTCTTGAACACCTGACCTCAGGTGATCCGCCTGCCTCGGCCTCCCAAAGTTCTGGGATTACAGATGTGAGCCACCATGTCCAGGGTCAGGTTCAATTCTAGAGCCAGCGTGCAGTCCAAATGATCCCCAACCACCCCTTAGTAAGGGAATATCTTGAAGGACACACTCCTGTTCAGCCGCAGACAAAGTGGTTTGGATTTAGTAGCCATGTGAACTAAAACCATATATATCTTTAAAAGCTGGATGCTGATATGCCTCAAAAACTGAGATAAACTGCAAGAAGAGTACATATAAGTCCGTTCGGTATGCTCATTCAGATGTGTACATGTACTGAGAAGAGCTGCCCACGGTTTTCTTTGGCTATGCAGGTGAGCTACAGTTGTTTGTAATGAAATAGAGGAATGGATGAATAGAAGGTTCAATATGTAATAGAGCAAATATTGCCCAAGGTTAGTGACAGCATCTAGGTGATTGGTGTATATGTGCTCACTGTATAATTCTTTAAACTCTTTTGGATGTTTGAAAGAGTTCATAGTTAATGTTGGAAAAATTGGCTTATTATGAAATTTCATGGCAGAACTTAAAACATATTAATATGGAGACTACACCAGCACATGGAAATGTGCTTAAGAATTTGACCAGATGTGGTGGCTCGTGCCTGTAATCCCAGCACTTTGGGAGGCTGAGTTTCAGTTTGGGAATGAGGTCAGGAGTTTGAGACCAGCCTGACCAACATGATGAAACCTGATCTCTACTAAAAAAAACAAAACAAAACAAAAATTAGCTGGGCATGGTGGCAGGCACCTGTAATCCCAGCTACTTTGGAGGCTGAGGCAGGAGAACTGCTTGAACCCAGGAGGTTGGAGGTTTTGGTGAGCCAAGATCTTTCCACTGCACTTCAGCCTGGGTGACAGAGCAAGACTCCATCTTAAAAAAAAAAAAAAAGAATTCCTGTTGTGGTCAGGTGCAGTGGGTGGCTCATGCCTGTAATACCAATATTTTGGGAGGCCAAGGAGGGAGGATTCCATTTGAGCCCAGGAGCTGGAGACCAGCCTGGGCAATGTAGTGAGATCCTTGTCTTAAATTGATTGACTGATTGATTGATCGAGATAGAGTCTCGCTCTGTCACCCAAACTGGAGTGCAGTGGTGTGATCTTGGCTCACTGCAACCTCCACCTCCTGGGTTCGAGCAATTCTCCTGCCTCAGCTTCCCGAGTAGCTGGGACTACAGGTTTGTGCCATCACACAAAGCTAATTTTTGTATTTTTAGTAGAGACGGGGTTTTACCATGTTGGCCAGGCTGGTTTCAAACTCCTGACCTCAGGTGATCCGCCCGCCTCAGTCTCCCACAGTGCTGGGATTACAGATGTGAGTCAGCACATCCAGCCTTGAATTTAATAATAATAATAAAAATAATGTTGATGAAAAACACTCTGCCAGTGATGCTGTGAACCGAGTGGAGATGAGTTCTGCCTCCTGCCTCAGCCTCCTGAAGTGCTGGGATTATGGGCATGAGTCACTGTGCCTGGCCCCAGTTTCTCTTTAACAAGGCAGTTAACCTGCAGCACAGTGAAGTTCAAGATCCCATCATGCCCACTGCTGTTCCATGGTTTGAGATGTCAGTTGCAAAAACTGCAATAGCAGATGGAACAGATCTATGAGTTTGCCTTTGAGGACACCCAGTGTTACAAAGAAGGCTGTGTGATCCTGGAATGTGACCTAGTTCGGGACAGTGAGGGCTTCAAGGGGCATGTATCATCTGATAAGTCTTGAAGAAAAAGAGATAAGTCAGCCCAGCATGGTGGCTCACCCCTGTAATCCCAGCCATACAATTAGTGTTGACTAAACAATTTTTTTTTATTTGAGAGGGAGTCTTGCTCTGCCACCCAGGCTGGAGTGCAGTGGTGTGATCTCGGCTCACTGCAACCTCCGCCGTCCAGGTTCAAGGGATTCTCCTGCCTCAGCCTCTCGAGTAGTTGGGATTACAGGTGCCTCCACCACACCCAGGTAATTTTTTTTTGTATTTTTTAGTAGAGATGGGGTTTCACCATGTTGGCCAGGCTGGTCTTGAACTCCTGACCTCAAGAGATCTGCCTGCCTCAGCCTCCCAAAGTGCTGGGATTACAGGTGTGAGCCACTGTGCTGAGCCTAAACCACTGAGATTGTTGAGGTTGTTTGTTACACAGCATTAGCTATTACAAGCGGGAAAACTGAGAAAAAGCCATGATTTTTTTGGACATAGCAATTATTTTTATTCTGAAATGTGTTAACAAATGATGTATCTTATGGCCAGTAGCAATTTTTTTTTTGAGACAGTCTAGTTCTGTCGCCAGGCTGGAGTGAAGTGGCATGATCTCGGCTCACCTCAACCTTCGCCTCCCAGGTTCAAGTCATTCTCCTGCCTCAACCTCCCGAGTAGCTGGGATTACAGGCACGTGTTGCCATGCCCAGCTAATTTTTGTATTTTTAGTAGACACAGGATTTCACCATGTTGGCCAAGATTATCTCGTTCTCCTGACCTCATGATCCACCCACTTCGGCCTCCCAAAGTGTTGTGATTACAGGCGTGAGCCACTGTGCCCAGCCAACATTTTTAAAGTAGAGAAAATAGAGGGAGCGTTTATACATGGATTATAATCTCATATGGAGAACATTGACTTAAAATCCTCATTTATACTCCACTTCCAACATTTTCTCAAGTTTTAAATGACAAAGAAAGGGGTCAGTGTTTACCTGCTGGCTGAGGAGGCAGTAGACCAAGAAGATGAAGAAGCCCTGCAGGCTGTTGATGATGGTGAAGAGGTAGGCCATGACCCGGGCAGCTGGACCCACCTGTAGGAAACCCAGACACCATGTGCAGCCCAGGATGAAGAGCTGAGCTGTTGCTTTGAAAGTCAGCATCCTGGGAGGAGGAAGTCAGAGATTAGGATGTCAAAAAACGAATAATGGGCATGAAACCCCCTCTGGTTAGCTGGCCAGGCTGGTCTCAAACTCCTGACCTCAGGTGATCCACCTGCCTCTGCCTCCCAAAGTGCTGGGATTACGGGTGTGAGCCACTGTACCCGGCCTAAAGCAATGAGATTTTTGAGGTTGTTTGTTACACAGCATTAGCTGACTATTACAAGCAGGAAAACTGGGAAAAAGGCAGTGAGAACTCTGGAGCTAAGCTACCTAGGTTTAAATGGAAGCCAATACTGGCTACCTGTGTGACCCTGGGAAAGTCGCTTTACCTTCTTGCAACTCAGCTCCCTCATCTTATTTTTATTTTATTTTATTTTTGAGATGGAGTCTCGCTCTGCTGCCCAGGCTGGAGTGCAATGGTATAATCTCAACTCACTGCAACCTCTGCCTCCAGGGTTCAAGTGATTCTCCTGCCTCAGCTTCCCGAGCAGCTGGGACTATAGGCATGTGCCACCATGCCTGGCTAATTTTTGTATTTTTAGTGGAGATGGGATTTCACCATGTTGACCAGGCTGGTCTCGAACTCCTGACCTCAAGAGATCTATCCACCTCGGCCTCCCAGAATATTGGAATTACAGGATGAGCCATTGCACCTGGCCTCAGTTCCCTTATATTAATAATTGTCCTATTTCATGGGGTTGCTATAAAGATTGCATGAGACTTTAACATGGGAAAGTATGTAAGACAATGTATGGTACAAAATTAGTGCCACACATACATAAGGCATTCTAAAACCTGAGTGCTTTTTATCTCTCATTCTTATCATTTATGGATGAGGTCTGTCACCCAGGCTGGAGTGCAGTGGCGTGATCTCAGCTCACCCCAACCTCTACCTTGCTGGGTTCAAGTAATTCTCCTTGATAATTATAAAAATCTCCAAGTAATACTCAGCCTCTGGAGTAGCTGGGATTACAGATGCGTGCCACCATGTCTGACTCATTTTTGTATTTTTATTAGAAATGGGGTTTCACCATGTTGGTCAAGCTGGTCTTGAACTCCTGACCTTGTGATATACCCGCCTCAGCCTCCCAAAGTGCTGGGATTACAGGTGTCAGCCAGCACACCCGACCAAGGTACAGTTTGTATATTGTAATCCTGCTGTGCATGTGTCTGTCTGTTCTACTTAAAGTGCACAGAGAAAGCTCTGGGAAAATGTCATAGATATCATATCTCACACATCAAATAGCCTGTGAATTCTGGCTTCCTGGGAAGTGGAAGTAGCAGGAAAAGGGACAGTTAGCCACTTTCACTTTTTACTTTATACATTGCAGAAAACTATGAAAAGAATTTAACAAACTTATTGTTATGACTAAAATGAAAACAAATTATGTGCGCAAATTAAAATGGATGGTGCAACATAAAAATACTCACACCTCGAGATATTTTGAAGTGGTATTATACAAAATATATTTTAATCTGGATCCTTGTTGACCTATGACACACAATTGGAGATATACATTTAAACTGGTATGTGTACAGAGAGCATAATTTGTAATTTAAGCATGTGATTTAATATAGCTAGATTGATCTCTACTGGCTGGGGTGGACACAGCTTTGTGACATTACAAGATTAATTTTTAGGGTTTCTATAGAATTTAAGCTTTTTAGTAACTGTCGGATTAGCAACTCTGAATTGGTTGTTTTTGACAAAAAAACGTACTCCTGTTTGCATCTTGTGTTGTGTAGCAGAAATGAACGTTTTCCTCCATTTTCATCTTCCTTTTGGTGTTAGATCTCTTCCTCTCTGAGTTTTTACGAATGAGGCAATTTATTAACCCAGCATGGTTTGTTCTAATGCTTCTTGTTGGCAGCTGCCACCTGTCCGGCGATTCTGTCCAGATCTCTCTGTCCCTGAGATGTCAGTTTGCGGCCCCCATCTTGGTCCTTTTCCACCATTTTCAGTCCCTCCAGGGCTTGGAGGACCCGGCGGGCCACCCTCTTGGAGCCTCAGCTGAAGTGGCTGGGCATGACGCCATTTCTCTAACGTACCCCATAGATGTTGGTCATGGAGCCAACCCCAGCGCCACCCCAGAGGTACAGGTGCCATGCTGTGGCAGCAGCTCGCGTGTAGAACCAGTTCTCATTGTAGGTAGCAAGTTCTTTGTGCTTGGCCAGCTTGGCGGTGTCCACCCATTCAGGGACTTTCAGCTTCCCGGACTTTTTGAGAAAGGCTGCTAGAGCTCTGAGAACTCCTGCTGCTTCACGTCTTTTACAGTAACTCCAGGCATTGTGTGGCCTCCCTGCTGCCAGCCAGGGAAAAGGGCCTCTCTGAGTTTTAAAACAAGGCACATGGTCACTTGGTTAGAGACTACCTTTCCCAGCTTCCCTTGCAGCTGGGTGTGACCATGTGACCAAGATCAGCCAATGGGATATGAGCAAATGTAGCATGTGCAGCTTCTATATTACCTCCTTCCCATGGATGGGATATTGACCAGGACAATATCCTTCTAGAGGATGGTGGAGCAACAAAGTAGAAAGAACCTGAGACCACGGATCACTGTGTGGAGCAGAGATTCTTTATTAGCCCTGTACTGCCCACTTCTGGGTTGCAACATGCGAGTGAAATAAACTTGTATTTTATTCCTTATTTTTTTGAGATCTTTTTTATCACAGCAATTTAGCTTGTAGTCTAGCTAATACATGTTCTCATTAATTGTGACAGTGGAAGATTACGGTGGTCTTGCTAGTCCTGGGAGCATGGCTTTTGAGTGTATGTGTGTGTGGATATGCAGGAGGGATTGGTAGAAAGGGATTAGGAAGTACCATTTGCCACATCCTACCTTGTGTTCTGGATGGTTGACACTTCACTGTTGAGGGAGGAAAGTTTTCTTTTCAAAATCCAAAACACCAAGAGAAAAAATACTAAATTCACCTGCAGGAGCAACAGAAACAAGGCAAAATGCAAGTGAAAATAATGTATGATGTCCACTTTAAACTGCACGCAAGAGTCCTACCTCCCTGTACATGGGATTGAAGTGGTAGCAGGTGCAAAATCAAACCACACAACGGTGGAAATGCAAGCCCCTTGTACCCAGAACTTCTCTTGGTTCTCCTTCGTTTGGGAACATCAAAGGCACATACTCACAGAGAAAATGGCACAGACTGGGCCAAGGAAACCCCAGATGAATCCCTGGTCCAGGTGGAGCCAGCACCTATGAACAATGGGAAAAGAGACACAAAGAGAGATCAGAGAAAGTGCATGACACGAACACAAAGAGACTCTTTTCCTACCAGAGAATTGTTTCCAATTTGTCCCAAAAGTCAGCTGATGACAATCAACTTTTTTTTTTTTTTTTTGGGACAGGGTCTTGCTCTGTTGCCCAGGCTGGTGTGTAGTGGCTCAATCTCGGCTCACTGCAACCTCTGCCTCCTGGGATCAAGTGATTCTCCTGCCTCAATCTCCTGAGTCGCTGGGATTACAGATGTGCACCGCAACACCTGGCTAATTTTTGTATTTTTAGTAGAGATCAGGTTTTGCCATGTTAGGCAGGCTGGTCTTAAACTCCAGACCTCACTGTGATCTGCCCCCCTTGGCCTCCCAAAGTGCTTGCATTACAGGCATGAGCCACCGTGCCCGGCCAACAATCAGCACTGATTACACATTTTGACTGCAACTTTGATCCATACATCATGCATTACCGTCCTGTTAAGCATTTTACGAGCACAGTCCTTTTGAATTTTCACACTAGCACTGTGAGGTTGGGACAATGAGGACAACTATTATTCTAATCTCACTAATGAGGGGAATGAGACTTGAGAGCTCAAATTGCAGGAAGAATAAAGCTGGGACCTAACTCTCATGATCCGAGAGATTAAAATAGACACTCCTATATCCACTAAGATAAATTCTAAGGTTAAGGAAAC